TTCATTTGTTAGGGTACTGCTCCGGTTTTCACCTGGTGTTGAATGGGGAAGCAACAGAAAACTACTGATCAGAACACCTGGCTGCTAGAATTCTCCTCCAGACAGCAGCTGAATTCGACCTAGCTATTTAGCTCGTGTTGAAAATCCTGCCATCGGGACTAGAACACTAGAACCACTCAGTCAGAGGCACTCAGTTGATGCTCTGAGCCACTTACGTCAGTAGTTGAAACAGGATCCTAGTGCTGGAGAGTTAAGTTCAGAGTATTTTTACAATTTCAGTTCATTTCAAAATCCATTTTTCAAGAGTGATAACGTAATGGTAACAAAAATTGTTCAGAAATTATAATTATGTTCAAGAGTGTTCTTACTTAAATTATTAATGAAGATTATGGCATAAATTAAAGGTACAAAATTTAGGATACGGAAAGGAAATCCTTAAATGAAATATATTAATTCACATTGCTCATACTCACCTCTTTAAGGTAGAAAATTCACAAATTAGTAGTTGGCCAAGCGGAGACAGCAAAGAAGATAGATGGAGGCCAAAAGGGATTTGGTCCAACGAAAGAAAGCACCCATTACATATGGTGCTGGGGTATTAAAAAATAAAATTTTTAGGCCTCTAAAGAAACTTTTCTCTCACCGTAATCTATAGGATGAGATTGTTTTGAACATGCTTTTACATTTTTGCTAGAGAAAGGGAGAGGGTGAGGGATATAAAGGGCAGGACAACTTCTAGTAGCTTCCACCTTTATAGAGATAAAATTTGTGATTTTAATTTTCAAAAGTAACTATTATGAAATTGACATGAAATGTTTTGATAGTTGTCATTTGCACTGGGATGAGCTAGCTCTTCATGTCATAGAGAAATTTACTGAATGGGAGGAAGTCAGACAAAGTGTACGGGATAGTATTTTAGAGAATAAAATTATTATAGTTGGGAAATATCATTTTAGTACTACTTGTTGCAGTTTTGTGAATGGAAAAGTTGCATTTTTTATTGCAAAGAGTTGTGTTCAAGACATTAAAATGAAATTAGATCTATATCAATTGAAAGGGAGTGCAATGCTGATGAGTAAATTCGTTATGAGATTGAAAATGGTCAATTATTCTGGAAGTAATATTGGAGCCAACATTTTAGATCAATGTCAAACATTAATTACAGTTTAAACAAATAATAGTTGTTTTAAATATTTATTAATTTTTAAATAAAACATCAAAAGTTATTTCTAATATGTTGACTTCCATAAAAAGGGGTTCTTGGAATAATGCTTTCTAACATTTGCCCTTTAATCAAAGAACACGATAGGATACAAAAATCTGCCGTATTCATTAACCAACAACTTTAATAAATATTTAATAAATACATAAAATCTTTATAAGAAAATACAAAATTCTTTTAAAATCCCCATACCCTGTCATGAAAAATCTGTATTATCTCAGACATTACTTCCTAGAGATAACAAATTAAAGTGGCAAGTAATGAATTACTAACATTTAAGTACAAATATATTGTAAAGAACTAATGAACTTCAAAATATAGACATTGAGATCAAAATTTCGTTGCAGTAAAACTTGCAAGATATGGTTCTTTTGACTACAATGATAAAATTTATAGCGCACAAAGAGATACCAATGTTTCCTTCCAACAACCCTTATACATTAAATTTTTTTTATTTTTATTAAGAACAACAAACATTTAGGTCTACTTGCTTCTAAAATCGCATCGTGAGAGTTTTTTTTGTTAGTGACTACTGGGAGGTGACCAGTTTATTCCACCATTTCTTGATCATAAAGGTGGAAGTATGAAGAATATATTTGATGTAAGATTTACAATAGTGGTAACAATTTAATACAATTTTCTATTGTGTAGAATCAATGTGTCGGATTATTTTTGTTTTCATTTTTTCTTCTCAATGATGGTTCTTCTCGTAGCGCTGGCAAGTGGTTTGTACTCTTAGAACCAACTTCCCGTCGATTGAGCTATGTAACTGACGGTTTCGGAAACAATCGAAAACTTCTCTCCTAATTATACCCCTTTGCCATGATGGGACCTGATCACCATGCTGGGGTAGTAGTTAAACAGTTGAAAATGGAACGCGTACTTGGCGCAAGGCCAGATATACCTACACACAAAACGAACAATGGCAAAAGGCTCCCACCAATAAAGGGCCTCTTGCCCCGGAAAATGTAATATATAAAAATAAATTTGACAACTTATTGGTTGAACTTGCAGCATTGGCGAGTCCACTAGTGTTTAATAAAATACTCAAAAAGAGTCATGAAATATGTTTGTACCCATAAAATTATTGTTAATCGAATAGTCTACCGTACTAAAAGTTTTGCAATTAAAAATATTTGATCAATGTTAAATGAGAGAAATATTAATTTCATATTAATTTTTGCAACTATTGATTGTTTATGCTAACTTCCAAATGTCCAGTGCCAAATTTAGTCATTTTTTAGTACATCTAGAGGACTTTTTCCGGAGGGGGCTCCCACGCGATTTTTTTCTTGAAAGTCCTGCAGTACCTAAATTCGGGCCTGACTTGGCCTGAACATGCATTTAAAGTGGTCCGTGTGATGTTTAAAACAAAAATCATCACTTCTGTGACAAAGCACAGCGTCATAGTTACGATTTCTTTAGTAGACATTGTGAGGCTCGAACAATATTTCATTCTGAATATCCTGTACGCTGTATGTCCAAACGTTATGAAACGGGTCTACCCTGTCAAAGGGCGAGTACCAAAAGAGCGCAAAATCCGAGCGCGTATTTCTCATGTAGTTGCTTGATTCGGAACGTGTCTCACTCGGGCAAGTGGAAGGTTATTTGTGCGTCTTTGTCACATATAAGAGAACGCGTATTTCAGGGGCAGGTAGAAAGCTATTTGTGTCTGTCATATGTAATCAGAAGTCTTACTAATGCAGGTTTACCCGTGACAATTTCGTCGTAGGAACTATTTGAAAAACTCTCACAGTAATTGACGGTACGCTCTGAGTGTGATGTTACGTGGTCCCCATGGCTCAGTACTCGTCGGGTGTCTAGCCGAACAGTTGAATTCGTGCGAGTACTTGTCATGCAGCTGGCTCGGGAGCTCGTCTTACTGGGGCAAGAGGAAGGTTATTTGTACGTCTTTGTCATGTATAAACGGAAGTCATACTAATGCAGGTTTACCCGTGTCACATTTACATTCTAGGAACTAAACGAAAAAATGTCCCTCAATATTTAATAGTACGTTCTGAGCGTGGATCTACGTGGTCCCCCTGGCTCAGTACCCGTCAAATAGCTGAATTCGAGCACATATTTGTCATGTAGTTGCTCGACTTGGAGCGCATCTCACTGGGATAAGAGGACGGGTATTTGTGGGCCTTTGTCTTATGTAAACGGAAGTCATATTAATGCAGGTTTACCCGTGACAGTTTCGCTTTAGGAAGTAGTCGAAAAAAATCTCACAGTAATTAACGGTATGCTCGGAGTGAGATGGCCCAGTACTCGTTTGGTAAGCTGAACTCGAGCACCAGGTGGCGTGTTGCAGCTTGAACAGTGGAGAATCTGACTGGGGAAATTTATATTTTGTGCGTGCTAAGTGGTTTGTGTGATGTGTAAATAAAAATCGTAGTGCTACGCACTTTTTAAAACATTCACGACGGCACAGCTTCATTGCCAATTTAGCTATTCAAGAACCCGTAAAAATCTCTCTTTATCCAAAATGTTTTGCTACTATTTGATCACAGCGACGTATTTGTCGAAAGTGAAGCTGAGCACCTTAGTATCCAGCAGGAGGAAGTGGATATATATCAAGAGACATGTCATGTGTAAACAACAATTGTTCTACAGTTTCCGAAGTATATCAGTTTTGTTTCAGGAAATCGTCGAAAAAACTAACAATACTGAACAGTACGCTCTGGGCGTGATGCATTATGACACTCATTGCTAAGTACTCGTCGAGCGAGTAGCCGAACAGCTTGAGCGAAGCGCGTGTTACGCCCTCACTTGCTTGAGCAAGGAGTGAAATGAAAGACTTATTTGATGCAGTGTCACGTGTAGAAGATAATTATACTAAAATTGTTTAAAAAGAATTCGCAGCGCCACAGCTTCCTTTCGCAACCAGCTATTAAGGAACCTGCCGAGAAAAACAATACGATACTACATATCCCGTACGCTGTATATTCAACGCCAGGCCACAGCGTACATCCAGAACACTGTCTTACGATTTCATCATAACGAAGTACTTGTCGGGTAGTAGCCGAGCTCGAAGTTGATGCCCGTACTTGACGTTCAGATTTTTGCACAAAGAGCTATATATTTCGATGGAACGGAAGACTTCTATATGCAACAATTAGTTTGATTGTCAATAATTGGTTTGATTTGACAATAATTGGCAGCGTCACAACCACGAACAACTATTTAGAAGCACATCGAAAGAAACTACACCTCGCTGCACGCTTGAGATTCAACGCGTCGCGTCAGCGTACATTTAGTATAGCATATTTTTTTTCATAGTATAGCATAGTTTTAGCATAGCACATTTAGTTTAGCATAGGTGTGCTATGATTTTACCAGAAGGAATGTATTCGGACAAGTATCCGAACAGCCCAACGAGTGAGATCTTGGGAGGGGTGTAGCTTGCTTCAACAATGAGTGTCGTGAATGGAACGGAAGGGGGAAGTGATGCGTATGTGTGAAAGATAATCGTACTACTATCGTTTCAAAAAAAAAAAAAAAAAAAAAAATGTAGCGTCACAACCACGTATTTCCATAGTCGTCACCAGCACTATGCTATTGGGAGGGACGATTCAGTTGATGAAGAGATAACCGGAGAATCCCCTCCAATATCCTCATACACCAAAAAAATGGGGCGGGGAAACGTTCCCCCTCCCTCCCCCGGCGGTGACACCCATGACTATTACCATCTAATTAGGAACCCGCGGAGAAAACAACCTCGTACTGTACGCGGAATAATTAGCAGTTCCCCTCAGCGTAAATCCAGTACCGTGTGCTACGATTGCACCATAGCGAAGTACTCGTCGGGCGAGTAGCCGAACAGTTCGAAGTCGAGCGCGTACTTGGCGTGGAGCTGCTTGAGGAGCGCGGCGTCCAGCTGGGAGAAGTAGGCTTTGGCGACGCGCAGGTCGCCTCCCACGCGGTGCATCCAGCGCGGCTGCGTCTCGCCCAGCACGCCCGCCGAGCGCAGCGCGTACACCTGGTCCCGCTGCAACGTCTCCACTTTGGCCAGGATGTCGTACTGCAGCAGGCACGGCGTGCAGTACAGGTGGTACGGGATCCAGTGGTCGTCCGCGTACTGCGCCAGGTCGGTGTCGACGAGATACCTGCGCAACGAGGTGTCTGAGCCAACGGCGGGTTTAAAGCGAGGTTAGGCCACCTCCCTGAAAATGCTGAGGATAAACATATTTTTGAAACAATTACAAGTGTGATTCAAATGTGTATATAATTTGTGGATGTGTTAATAATAATTAATTAATTATCTTAAAATAGTTATTATTGAAACGTTGTTTTCGAGTTTAAATGCATACTAATTCTAGTGGAACTGGGGCTGCTGCAACAGCACTTATTTTCTCGCATTATTTCTAAATTCGCAATTTTCGAAAATTCAGAGAGTTCAACGAAAATGAGACCTGTCCCATTATTTAAGCGTTCCTTGTTATATCCTAGGTTAAAAATATTGAAGAAGAAATTGGAGTGATTTTTGAAAAATATATATTATTAAATTGCATAAATTTCAAGGACAAAATACGCAAAAGACTAGTGTTTTCAACAAAATTGTACATGACCATTTTTAAAGAGCTGTTTTTAGAACAGATTTTGTTGCAAACTAGTATATTTATCTTCTATTTTGTAGTTTTGAAAGGTTATAATTTTGCAATTTCTCGTATCGCCTGGTCCTAGTAACGAAGTGGAGAAATTGTGTTCATTTGTATAGTAAATTACTCCATCTAAATGTGTAGCCAGAGTTCATCTTCTGTGGGTCCTCGATTGACGGCAAAATGTTCGTCCATTGTCAACGTTATAATTGTCATTGTCCATTGTCAATTTTTATATAGCTGCCTCCCAAGGCCGTCTTTACGATGGAATATGTCACGGCATTTCGCGTCTTTCTCGGTCGTGTCGCTAGATGTCGCATGATTGCAAGCACTGCTTGATACGGTCGCGATCATGCGACATCTAGCGGCACGACCGAGAACGACGCGAAATATCATGACATATTCCATCGTGAAGACGGGCCTTATCCAAAATTGATATTCTCCGATCGATCTAAACGAACTTCAGGCTTTGCGAGTTTGAAACAAATATTTTGATTTTTGTGGATACTTTACAATAAGCCACAACACTTTCAAAATTTTCTCAAATAGCCCCAATTTTTTTAAACAACATTGTTCTCGGATTGCACAAAAAAAGCTTAAGAGAATGGTACATGTTTAATTTTCGTTGAAATTATTGAATTTTCGAAAATTGCAGAAATTTAATTTTATTCCGGCGTCTTTCTACAATTACAATATTGAAGATAGAGATATTTTCTGAATGAAATTGTTCTTTAAAGACAGGTCCTGAAATGAGGTCATATACATTTTGTTTGAAAATATGTAATTTTCGGGTAATTCAGCGTGAAATATAGACAATTTTTAAACTTTTTTTCTTGAAAATGACTCCAATTTTTTCTTAAAATTTTCTCCTCGTATCAAAGGACTGTAAAAGATATGGTGCTAGTCTCAATTTCGGCAAAAGCTCTATTCTTGCAAAAGTTTCAAAATTTTAACACTTCAAAACTACCAAATTGAAGATAGAGATTTTTCCTATAAACAAAAACTGTTCTAAAAAACCCGCTCTTTAATAAAGGTACAAGAAAAGTACAGTTTTTAAGGAAAACGAGCAGTCTTTTCATATGTCGTGCTTGAAATTAACGCAATTTCTAAAAGAACTACTTTCTTAAAATCCCATCCAATTTTTTAGCATTTTCTCCTCATATGTATTAGAAGGTAAAAATGTTCGTAGCAGTCCCATTTTTGGCGAACTCTTAGTATTTTCGAAAATTGCTAATAGTTAACATTTCAAAACTGCAAAAGTGACGGTTCTTTAAACAAAATCTGGTCTAAAAGATCATCTCTCTACGAAAGGTCATCTATTTTTTTTTTGAAAATACGAGTGACTGGCAATACGACAGGTAAGGTCACCGAATATTCAAGCATATCAGGAACGGTTGTGGTTGTGACGGCCCAGCACGCCGCATAGTATCGCCATACATGGCCTGCAAGAAAGAAAACTCGCTGCCTAAATGCCCAAGCTGCATCTAGAATTGCCCCGCGGATTTCCATGCTTGCCCTGTCTACCTACACGCCCAAGAACCATGAAGGAAAATCTCTCCAAAATCCATGAAGCGAAAGAGCCACGCGCTGTATCACAAGCCAAAGGACTAACGTCTCTCCGACCTGCTGCTTCACTACGGTCCCCTGGGGAATGCAACCAACCGTGCACGCCGCCGCCAGCCTCATACAGCCGCGTCCACTCCAGGCCCTTTCTGGCTTTAGCGAGTTGACGTACGTCCTCTCCTCACCACCGATTTAACAGCGCTCGTCTATCCAGGCCTAAACGTATTAGTGGGCGACAGAAATGTAGAGGGCAAAGAGTGAGAATATAGGTGAAATTCACAAACGTGCGTCATTCTACATCAATTCCTCCTCTCTTCCACGTCACTTTCTATTCAAACTATCTCCGGTCCTACTTACCTCATGAGTACATCCCATTCGATATTTCATACATGATGCCTTTTTCGTGCTAATCGGTCCTGAATCTACTGTCAGAACTAAGCGCTATCACTTATCGACTTTGCCCTGTTCCTAGGTGCCTATCCACTTATAGTTAACCAAAAAATAATTTCCTCCAAAATCTGCAAAAAAGTCCGCAATAGAGCCGCCCACAAACTGCACGCCAGAACTCGCGCTCTCTCATCAGTAGAAATCGACACTCCTTCCAAAAAATACTTTTCAATTTCTCCCTCCATATAACCGATTTACGCATGAAAAGAAACATGACTTCAAGACGTCCTTCCATAGTTTATTCTCTCACAAATACAAACCAATCTGTTTTATCAGCTATTTATTTTGTTAATACACACCGGTACATCTAAAATTCTCACTTAAATTAGTCATTTCTCTACAAACGATAGTTTTTCAATCTTCTCAAGTAATTAAAAATAACTAAAAAAATTATTCTCCATCAGATGCGATTGTCTCTAACGGTGAAAATATTGTCAAAATTATATATTGATATTAGTCTTTAATATTGCAAATATTGTCACTAGAAAACAAATAATGTTGTAATTGTCTACATTTACACAGTGCTTACAATAATGTTTTAATTGCTGCATCTACACAATTATTGCCCAATAACTGGCAAGATCTCAGTAAACGACAAAAATCTTTAAAAGAATTCAGCTACCTGGAAATTTTAAAACGTGTCGTTGAAAATGAGATAAGTTACTGTATGTATGTCATTTCGTCAAAATTACTATGTCCCTTTTCTACTCTCTAGAACCAAATTTAAATAAGAACTCTTACGTTTTTTGCATAGATCTCGAGTGAATGAATTTACAAAGTTAATTTTACTTTTTTACAAATTTCCTAATAAATGCATTTTGATCCATTCCAGTAGCGCAATTAGATCCAGAGTCATTTAATGTCGAAATTGATATTGTACATTTGTCGAAAGTTTGTAACAATGAACCAGGAGAAGAGGCTCAGGGAATCAACTCATGTCACTGCAGCGCCTCTGACTGTGAGATCCTAGGTTCGAGTCCCGACGGTTGCAGGATTTTCGACACAGGCTAGATTAGCTAGGTAGAATTCAGTCGCTGTCTGGAGGAGATTTCTTTCGGACGGCTGTTGTGATCGGTAGTTTTCTGTGATTTCTCCAATCAATACCAGGCGAATGCTGGAGCAGTATCCTAACAAAATGCCCTCGGTGGCTAGTTGGTTAGCGTGCTCGCTTTCCACGGCCCAACCCCGGGTTGGATTCTCGGTCGGGGCAAAATTATAACTGTGCGCTTTCCTTACAAATGTCCCAGAAACTATTGCTGTGTGACGATGAGAAAGCCCACGCAAAGCTAATGAATACCAGTATATACGGTGGAGGGATGTCTTTGTGCTAACCACACGAATTTCTTATCCCATTGCTGAGAGGCTGGGCCACAGCTGGTCGGCCAAAGACCGTATTGGGCTGTCGAGCCAAAGGGCAGGATAGTACCCTAACAAACGGGCCACGGACCGCGCGCAATCTTTACTTCCCCTTCCTTGTCCTATATTCACCCCTTATTTACACACACTTACATGCACTACACTACCACGCATGTCGGGAGCTTAGAGCTTACCCCGGCTGCGGCGGTTGTTGTAAAGTAAAACATTAAACTATTGCAATTTTCAAAAATTACTTTAGTTCAACGGAAATAACATATGAGCTATTTTCAGTCGTACATTGCTCTAACCAAGAAAAAAGTAAACAAAATTTGGAACCTTTTTTTGAACATTTGGAAAATGTTGAGGCATTGTGTAAAGTAGCCCCCAGAATCAAAATAACCGCTTCAAATTCGCTAGGCCTTGAGACTTATACCAACTTCTCGGAATCAAGGACCTACAAAACGTGGACTCAATATACGTATTAAAGGGACACATAGGAACAAGATTTACACACTTTTTGGTTCACACGGGGGCTCAGTAAGAGTTCTTATGTAGAGAAATCGCAACTATCCTTTGAAGCATTACAATGCTTTTTCTGTACTACGTAACTACGTAGTAAGCCATAACGTAAAAGATGATCATATGGGGTAAGAGGAAGAAAATGAGGAAACATGAAGAACCGTATTATGAACAGGTATTATTTTGAGTTTGCGGACGCCTAAACTGCTATGACCATTGGTCCCTCAAAAAAGTATAATATGTTATATCTCAGGATGTGGCAGTATTTCTACCCCTCTGGATTGTGAGATCCGACGTCATCGGGACGTAGTCTTGCGGTATTTTCCTTTTCCAGATATCTCCTTCAGCGGGCCACTTAGGCGCGAAGAGTTTTAATCTTTCGACATGTGTGTTAGTGTAATGCAAGTAAGTGTGCTTGTGTCTAAGATGCGACAAGGAAAGCAGGACGAGAAAGGAAAGGGCGCGTGCGGTCCATGGCCAATTTGTTAAAGTACTGGGCTGGCATCCGCCTGGTATCGATCAGGCAAACCACCAATCATGAAAACTACCAATCATAGCTGTCGTCCACTAGAATCGCCCTCCAGGAAGCTGAATT